CTTCCATGCAGTATTGTGTACACAGGCATCTTACTTGGTGGTGCAGATGACAAACATTGGTCAGCCAGGTACCGTAAGCTGTGTTTTGTTTAAAAAAAGGCTATGTATGTATGTGAGTGTGTATGTGACTATGTATGTATGTATGTAATTTATGTATGAGAGTATGTGTGTGTGTATGTATGTACATATGTACGTATGCGTGCACATTATTATTATTATTATACAGTATTTATAAAGCGCCGATAGTTCACTCAGCACTGTAAATTACAAAGGGGGACAGAACATTTGACAGAACAATACCAATACAATGCAAAACATGAGGGGATCGAGGGCCCTGCTCTTTCGAGCTTACAATCTAGGAGGGAGGGGATGGTGGTACAGGAGGAGATAGCTGTGGGGGATGGAGTGATAGGAAGAGTGGAGGAGGTCGGTCAAGTTAGCAGGGGGTAGGCTTCCCTGAAGAGATGGGTTTTCAGGGTGCGCCTAAAGGAGAGGAGAGTAGGTGATAATCTGATGGGTTGGGGAAGGGAGTTCCAGAGGATGGGTGACACCCTGGAGAAGTCCTGGAGGCGGGCATGGGAGGAGGAGACCAGGGAACTAGAGAGAAGGAGGTCTTGTGAGGAGCGGAGTGTGCGTGCTGGGCGGTACTTGGATATTAGGTCGGTGATGTAGTTCGGGGCAGTATGATGGACAGCTTTGTACGTCAGTGTTAGGGTTTTAAATTTGATCCGTTGTGCAATCAGAAGCCAGTGGAGGGATTGGCAAAGGGGGGTGGCAGAAACGGAGCGGTTGGAAAGGTGAATGAGTCTGGCAGCCGTATTCAGGATCGAATGAAGCGGGGATAGCCAGCGGCGAGGCAGGCCAGTGAGGAGGGAGTTGCAGTAGTCGAGTCGTGATATGATGAGGGAGTGGATGAGCTGTTTAGTGGTTTCTGGGGTTAGGAACGTGCGGATTTTGGCGATGTTGTGGAGGTGGAGTCTGCACGAGATTGTTAAAGATTGGACTTGGGGCTGGAAGGATAGGTTGGAGTCCAGAATGACACCAAGTACTCTGGCCTGCAGGGCGGGTTTGATATTGGCATTGTTGGATGTGATGGAGAAGTCAATGGGGGGTGGGGGGTTCGGGCTGGGGGGAAGACAAGAAACTCGGTTTTGGAGAGATTCAGTTTAAGGAAGTGGAGCGACACATCCAATCTGATATGTCGCTCAGTAGGTGTGTGATTCGGGCAGAGACCGAGGGGGTGAGGTGGGGGGTTGAGAGATAGATTTGTGTGTCGTCGGCATAGAGGTGGTAGTTGAAGCCGTGAGAGTGTATGAGTTGGCCAAGGGAGGAGGTGTAGATGGAGAAGAGAAGGGGCCCGAGGACGGAGCCTTGAGGGACCCCAACAGAGAGGGGGAGTGAGGGGGAGGTGGTAGCATTATAGGTAACGCTGAAAGAGCGTTGTGACAGGTAGGATGAGAGCCAGGAGAGAGCAGAATCTCTGAGGCCGAGGGAGTGTAGTATTTTGAGGAGGAGGGGGTGGTCAACTGTGTCGAAGGCCGCACATACGCGTATTTATATGCATGTGTGTGTATGTATGTACGGTATGTCTGCACAATACTGTTAGGTCTTGTTCACATGGGAATACTTAAACGTACATGTGCAAGGGCCGCTGAAAGACCAGGAGAGGGATTTATGATGAGGGGCAGTGTCTACAAGGAGGGAGATGGTGTAACAAAGGAGTGGGAGCAGCGTGTATAGGGGAAAAGAGGGTCATTGTATATGGGGGCAGTGTATACAGGGGGGCACTGTGTAGAAAGGGTGGGAGATTGTGTACAGGGGGTGAATTTATTTTGGGATAATTCCTCTTTGTGTTTATTTATTGTTTCTAACCAGTATAAAAAAGCCACATACACTGTTTGCCGTGGCACCAAAGATCGCCATGTCTCTGGTAGGAGCCCAGTGCATTTATTTGCACTTGTTAAGATTGAAAACCAAGTGATCATAGACCACTGATTGCTCAGTTCTCAGTCTTCAGTCAGCAGAGAGCCAGGGCTATTATTATTATTATACAGGGTTTATATAGCGCCAACAGTTTGCTCAGCCCTTTACAATATAAAGGGAGACAATAGAGCAACAATACAGTTTAATACAAGAAGTTTAGGGGGGCCTATTCCTTGGAGCTTACAATCTAAGAAGGAGGGACTATCATGCCTCTCCAGGGCTCACTGGAGCGCTGGGCTGTGGAGGGGGCGAGAGTGGCTGGCTCAGACTCTCAACAGCATACTGAGAGTTTGAGCCAGTTCTGGTAAGACATCTGGGTGGATCCCAACATTAAAGTTGGGATCTCCCTAGAGTCTGGACTGGGTCTGTGATGTCAGCGGAGAGCTGACTTTAGCCTGCTGTCAGCTGAATCTGGGTCACAGGAGTGCAGAACGAAGTGCACTCGTGTGACCTACAAGAGAAGTAGGGACAAAAGAGCTTTAGCCCTACTTCTCTTTTAAGTTTTAAAGTATGGTTTTATTATGTAGGGTCCTGTCAGCTTAATGAATATGCAGGATATCTTATGCAATATTATCCAAAATGTTTACCTTACTGAAAAAAGGAGGACTCTCACGTTAAGTCACACTTCTTTTTCCTCTGTAGATCACTGCAAAATGAACAGTTTGAAAATTTGTTAAATCTATTGTTAAAGAAACTAAAGTGAAAGAAAAAACTAAATATGTCATTAGTTGTGGGTGATCTTACAGTAGCAAGAAAAAGTATGTGAACCCCTTGGGATTACATGGAGTTTTGCATGAATTTGGCATAAAATGTGCTCTGAACGTCATCTAAGTCACAACAATAGAAGAACACAGTCTGCTGAACATAATACTACACAAACATTAGATGTTGCCATGGTTTAATTGCACATAACATGTAATCATTCACAGTGCAGGGAGGAAAAAGTATGTGAGGTCCTAGCTTAATGACTTCTCCCAGAGCTAATTGGAGCCAGGAGTGAGCCAACCTTGACTCCAATCAGTGTGATGATATTGGATGTGTTGCTGACAGCTGTCCTGCCCTTAAAAAACACACACCTGTTTTGGGTTTACTGGTTTCAAGAAGCACTGTCTGATGTGAACCATGCCTCTCAGAAAAGAGCTCTCAGAAGACTTCCGATCAAGAATTGTTGACTTGCGTGAAGCTGGAAAGGGTTACAAAAGTATCTCCAAAAGCCTTGATGTTCATGTGTCCACGGCAAGACAGACTGTCTACAAATGGAGAAAGTTTAGCACTGTTGCTACTCTCCCTAGGCGTGGTCGTCCTGTAAAAATGACTTCAAGAGCACAGTGCAGAATGCTGCATGAGGTAAAGAAGAATCCCAGTGTGTCAGCTAAAGACCTACAGAAATCTCTGGCACATGCTAACATTTTGTTGACACATCTACAATAAGGAAAACATTAAACAAGAATGGAGTACATGGGAGGACACCACGGAGGAAGCCATTGTTGTCCAAAAAGAATATTGCAGCACGTTTGAAGTTTGCAAAAGAGCACCTGGATGTTCCACAGCACTACTGGCAAAATATACTGTGGACAGATGAAACCAAGATTGGAGTTGTTTGGGAAGAACACACAACACTATGTGTGGAGAAAAAAAGGCACAGCACACCAACATCAAAACCTCATCCCCACTGTAAAACATGGCGGAGGGAGCATCATGGTTTGGGGCTGCTTTGCTGCCTCAGGGCCTGGACGGATTGTTGTCATTGATGGGAAAATGAATTCCAGAGTTTATCAAGACATTTTGCAGGAAAACGTATGACCATCTGTCCGCCAACTGAAGCTCTGCAGAGGATGGGTGATGCAACAGGACAATGACCCAAAGCATACAAGTAATTCAACAAAACAATGGCTGCAACAGCACAGAATACGCCTTCTGGAGTGGCCCAGTCAGAGTCCTGACCTCAACCCGATTGAAATGCTGTGGCATGACCTTAAGAGAGAGATTCACACCAGACATCTCTTCACAAAACTGTTTCAGTGTAGCAATATTCTTGAGGAGTGGTCCAAAATTACTCCAGATCGTTGTGCAGGTCTGATCTGCAACTACAGGAAACGTTTGGTTGAGGTTATTGCTGCCAAAAAGAGGGTCAACCAGTTATTAAGTCCAAAGGTTCACGTACTTTTTCCTCCCTGGACTGTGAATGCTTACATGTTATGTGCAATTAAACCATGGCAACATCTAATGTTTGTGTAGTATTATGTTCAGCAGACTGTGTTCTTCTATTGTTGTGACTTAGATGATGATCAGAGCACATTTTATGCCCAATTCATGCAAAACTCCACGTAATCCCAAGGGGTTCACATACTTTTTCTTGCAACTGTATTTTTGAGTCAATACAGAACAATCAATTCAGCAATTCATGACATATTGCTTAATTTTTTACATATAGGGATAACCTTCAATTCATGTGATTACATGCCAAATGAAAGAAATTGATGATGAATATTTGGGTAGAAAAGCACTGGATAATAATGATGCTTATACCAGTCTTTAAACACACTTTTATGTAGGGAACTGTACAATGACTGACATAGTGCAACCCAATGTTGTAAAAAATAAATAAATTAAATTTTATATATATATTTATATATATATATATATATATATATATACACACATATACTTTACAATGCAGTTATTCTATACCATGTTCCAAGGAGCTCTCCATGAAGCAACATATAGTGCAGCAGAAATGCATGCTGATATATCCATTTACTAACTACCAAAGAAATCAGGTTAGCAGAGTGATTATAGTGCACTGCATTGGTTGTGGGCTATTTGCTCCATAGTCTGAGCATAATGTAAGTCAGTAATCAATGTGAATGGCTATACTGTAAATATTGCTGTGAAAGTTTACTATTACCACTACATTTTAATATCAAGCATGCAGATGAACACAAGGGAATGACCTGCTTTAATTTGTTTCTATAAGGTAGGCAGAAGAAGTATAAAGATGATTTATTATCTATGCCTTACCCATTCCAAGAGAACTTCCTGAGCATGTCACTGAAATAAAAAAAAGAATCAAACTTAAGTTGGTTCTCAAGTCAGTTTTTTTTTTTTACCTTAATGCATTCTGGATATTCCCCCCCCTCCCCTAAATATGTACCTACATCAATCTGCAGGTCTTCTATCCTCTGTCCCCACTGTCATAAGCTTAGCTGAGAGGAGCAGAAACCACGGGCTCCTGGCATTGTCAATCAAATCCTATGAGGAGGGGGGGGGGGGGGGGGCAATCCACACTGTGTATGACTTGGTGACACACAGAAAAGAGGCAGTGTGGGGAACACCAGTGGGGGTCCCCAGAAGAGTAGGTTAAGGGCCGTTCTGTGCAATATCCTTGCTCAGAGCAGGTAAGCATAACAACTAGTTTATTTTAGATAACCACTTGCCCTCCAGAGGAATTACCCCCCTTCTGACCAGGCCATTTTTTGTGATACAGCGATACGTTACTTTAAGTGACAATTGCGCGGTCATGCAACACTGCACCCAACTGAAATTTATGTCCTTTTTTCCCACAAATGGAACTTGCTTTTGGTGATATTTGATCGCCTCTGTGTTTTTTATTTTTCGCAATATAAAATATAAAAAAAGACTGACAATTTTGAGAAATAAAACAATATTTTTGACTTTTTGATGCTTAACATGTTCAGTTAAAAAATTTGTAAAAATCAAGTGTTGTCATAAATTTAGGCCAAAATGTATTTTGCTACGTCTTTGCTAAAAAAAAATCCCAATACGTGTAAATTAATTGGTTTACATGAATGTTAAAGCGTTTACAAATGGCGGTATATACACTGGATTTTTTTTTATACTAGTAATGGTGGCGATCAGCGACTTATAGTGGGACTGCGCATTCTGACACTGGTGGGGAACTGACTAACTGTCACTGACAATTCCCAGTGACACTAATACAGAGATCAGTGCTACTAAAAAAGCACTGACACTGTACTAATGGCACAGGAAATGCAAAATCACACACACACACACACACACATATATATATATATATATATATATATATATATATATATACGGGCAAGCAGTTAAAGATGAGTTCTAGTCTCCCCCCAAAAAAATAAAAGTTAGCAGCTACAAATACTGTACCTACCGGTAATTCCTTTTCATATACAATAAGGACAGTTACCTGTCCAAGGATCCAGCGATGAACCAATTCTTCAATTGACTTTGGGTACAGGTGCCAGCCTCTTAAGTAAGGGAAACTTGCAGCCGGTTTTTACTGCGTAGCAGTCTTCTGGGATCTGTGTGTGTCCCAGAAGACTGTGGGGGGGAAGGAGGAGGGGTCGAACGTCCTCATAGATCGCTGCGGTGATCTGATCCAGAAGTGGGTGGGGGTGCTTATCAAAACCAGGTACCCGCTGCTCCACAAAAAAATGCCAAATGTGGTAGTGAAAGGGGGGGGGGGGGGTGCAAATAAGCTGAACTTCCCCTTTTGGGTGAATTTTCGCTTTTAAAAGATGTTTTTGACTTCATAACTTCTTTAATTAGATATGTGTTCCAATACATGGAAAAAGAAGAGCAAAATAGAGTAATTATTATATTGTTAACCCCTTTTTTTATTGCAGATAGATATTTCCATTCATAAAAATGTAATCTACACAAATGCATAAAGCATTTTTTCTGCTGCTCTCAGACTCCCTGCTCTAGGGTAGCTATGTTTGTACTCCATGCCCCTTGTTTATATGAATGTAGGCACGCTTTCCCGCTCTCCCCCAAATGGACCACATGTCTACCTACAGACACAATGATGAGCACTTTGGGAATAGTAGAACAGCACAGCCATCCAAAGCAGTGAGCTAACAGTGAAGCACACTGACACTGCCCCTTAGTAAAACACTCCCTGCACACAGTTAACCCTTTGATCACCCCTCATGTTAACCCCTTCCTGCCCAGTGCCATTAGTACAGTGTCAGTGCTTTTTATTAGCACTGATCACTGTATTTTTGTTACTGGAGAAGTCAATTTCCCCCAGTGTCAGAATGCCCGCTACAGTCCTGCTATAAGTTGCTGATTGATGCCGCCATTACTAGTAAAAAAAAAAAATCCAGTATCTATACCACCATTTGTAAATGCTAAAACTTTCACGTAAACCAATTAATTTACACATATTGAGATTTTTATTTTAGCAAAGACATGTAGCAGAATACATTTTGGCCTAAATTTATGACGAAATTGGTCACAGCTTGTCACATGGTACAAAGCTGTTGTGAATAGCCTTGTACCATCTGACCTCTGTGATCATTCACAGATTTCACACGTAGTAAGCAATTATGTCAGAAGTGACATCTTGCTTACTACTATTCATGCGATTGATTGGCCAATCAGTGATCACATGATCGGGACCTCACACAGAGGTCCCATACAGCAATTGGTGTTCCGCTGGGTCCTCCGGACAAAGCGGGCACCAGTTTGCGGTGCCACGCGCTCCCAGGGAGCACGCATGGACAGGGAGCGGGGAGGACATTTATAAACGGCCACCCGCCCCTGCACTGCTCCCACCCGGCTGTTTATATACATGGGCCAGACTGGAAGTTAAGTAACCCAAAAAAAGTTACAGAGCTTGGATTCTGGTAAAAACATTGTATTCTTTATCTAAAACTGCTTTGTACCAAATGATCTTTCAGTGATGATAAAAGAAATTCCTACCAGAATATATTTTTTTTGGGGCAGAAAGATATTTGGGTATCTCCACCACTGACAGGAGATACAACCACTGTATATACATCCCCACATGGTATCTCTGTGACATCACAGTAGCTGACTCCGGGGAATGGACTGCAGGTAAAATTTCCTTTAGAACCATATATATTGACAGTGTAGTTTTCAGGTCCAGGTGAAACCCGCCATGTTACACGGATTCCGCTGTTTGACAGCCGGTACAACTTGACTCCAGATGGACAACAAGCACCTAGAACACAAATACATGACTTGGTCTACAAATTCTAGACAACCAGATTATGTTGTGTTCATGTTATGTTGACAGTGCTTTCACAATAAATAAACTAAAAATAAAGCGGAGTTCCACCTAAAAAAAATAAATAAATAAAAGTCACCAGCTACAAAAACTGTAGCTGCTGACTTTTAAAATACAGCCACTTACCTGTCCCTCGGTCCAGCAGTGTCTTCACCATGGCTGGTTTTACCGGCCATCTTCTCTCCCTGGCACCTGCATCTTTAGTGTGGGCACCCGGCTGTGACAGCTTACGGCTTCACAGCTGGGTGCCCACTGCGCATGCGCAAGAAGTGCTGCACTTTGTGAATGGTCACGTAGTCTTCTGGGACCTGTCACGTGTCCCAGAAGACTATGGGGGGGACAACGTCCCCTTCCGATTGCCTGGGTGATCACAGTGGAAGTGGTAGCGGGTACCTGTCAAATTCGGGTGCCCATTCCCCAAAGGTGCCAATCCTTAATGGGGAGCAGTGGACAAAGGCTTAAAGTGGAACTTCCCCTTTTGGGTGGAGCTCCGATTTAAATCTTCTCTAGGTTAGTAGGAAGTTGAGTTCATTACTGGTTTATATTGTTCATACTAACAGAGCTTGACAACTTCCATCACCAGTTTCCTGGTGTCCCAGGAATATAACAAGTGCATCATTATTTCAAGGAGGAAAACCAGAGAAAAATAATACAGCTTTCATCTTTGCATTGCAAATAACCAGTGAAGCACTAGTTTTTTAAAAAAATCAGTTTATGTACCATAAAGCAGAACTCCAGGCCAAGGCCTGGAGTTCTGCTTTATGGAACATAAACTTATTTTTTTTTACGGTACAGAAACTGATTTTTACATCAAAAGTTTTATTGAAAATAAAAAAAAAAAAACAGCATTTTTGCTTGCTAATGATTGGATGATGAAAGTCAGCAGAGCTTCACCTCAAAATAACAGACCGTTTGTTGTTAGTAAATCATTCTTATTGTGCTTTTGATATATATTGATTGATTTACTAATAACAAACGGTCTGTTATTTTGCAAGGGAAGTTGCACTTTGTCAGGGAATTTTCTTCAGTGCTTAGTGAATGAGGTGAATCTGTGCTGACTTTCATCATCCAATCATGTACAAGCAAAAAATGCAGATTTTTTAAAATTTTCCTTGCACCTGGAAGTGAAACTTCACCACATTCTCTTCTAGGGCAATTCCCCTGGCAAAGTGTATCTTCCCTTGCAAAGTGAACAGTTAATTTACATTCAATAAATCAACCCCTAAATATCTCAATATGTTTCAATGAAAAAAATAATTAAAACTTCTTTTTTTTTTTCATATTGCTAACATAACTAAGGCAGAGCATATTTTTGCACCAATCAGGGTTTTTTTTTCACAGTGCTTCAGTGTAAAACTGTTAATATGGTTAAAGCAGAGGCAAGCACAAGGGTGACCTCACCAATGCTTCTGCTATTCATTGTGAAATTACAAGCTAGGCACAGGTGCAGGGGCGGACTGACAACTCATGGGGCCCCTGGGCAATAGGGGATCCTGGGGCCCCTGTTTCCTTGCCCAAACTCAAAAAAGCCTATGAAAAAGGTACCAGGGGGGCATCTCATGGGGCCCCCTACTGACCCCAGGCCCTCGGGCAATGCCCGAGTTTCCAAATGGTCAGTCCTTCCCTGCACAGGTGTCAAACTGGCAGCCCTCCAGCTGTTGCCAATGAGGCATTGAGTCCCAGGAGGCATTGCAAAACTGACAGTTGCAAGCATGACTCCCAAAGGCAGAGGCATGATGGGACTTGTAGTTTTGCAACAGCTGGAGGGCCACCAGTTTGACACCCCTCAGCTAGGGGAAGAGAAGTGATTATGGAAGCAGAATTTCAACAGTCACTTTCCCTGTAGTTACCCATCTGATAGATGGACAGCCTGATTTTAGAGGGGAGGGGAGGTGTAATAGTAAGGACAGACATTCACTTCAAGCACAGTATTTACACAAATGACATTGACATTTTGTAATTAAAAGACAGATAAACAACATAAAACACACTTTTGTTAATAGAAAAGTGACTTACTTGATGAATACCCATGATATGTGCACTGTGATACAAGGCCTGTTTCACTGACAGCTTCTAGGGACACTGAATAGCTTGTTCCACAGGTGATACATCCCAGAAGACAGTGGTCTTCCAATGTGTGGCACTTTGCTTGTCCTTTTGGTGATTCCAGCATGGTAGTATACGTCTGTGCTCCAACAGCGATGGACCAGCTGACATTTGTCACAGACTGTGTGACCTGCACTACACTTATATTTACTGGACAGCAGGGAGCTGTAAAGAAGATTCATTAAAATCAGTTATGCAACAATTTCATTTCCTGTGAATTTTCATACACTAGAATGACAATGAACAATTTTATATTATATCATATTTCTTATTTTCTTATTACTTATATTTTTATATTAGCAGAATACAATCATGATTGTCAATGAGAACACTGCTGTTGGAACAGTAAGGTTGAGATAATTGCTCCTCAAAGGGCTGAAGCACTCTCAGTTTGAATACAAAATTAAATTTTTACATGTCAAAAGATCCTCTAAGACAGGGGTGTCAACTCAATTTTATTGTGGGCCACATCTGCATTATGGTTGCCCCCAAATGGCTGGTTGTATAGTAAGACTATATAAATTTACAGTATCTACTCTTTATCACATTAAATAATTGCCTTTGCATTCAAATATTACTGGATTTAGTAAGGCTTAAGGTTTAAAGTGGAGTTCCAGCAGTTTTGTGCTTATTAAAAGTCAGTAGCTACAAAAATTGTAGCTGCTGACTTTTAATAAACACACACTTACCTGTTTCGGAGTCCAGCGATGTGCTCACCCCGTGCTGCTGCTTCTCTCCTTCTCTCCTCCACGGCACTGACATTTCACAGCCTGGTGTTCACAGCGCATGCGCGAGTCATGATGCACCTCCTAATTGGTCCGGCAATCTTCTGGGACCGGTGAAAGTTCCCAGGAGACTGAGGGAGGGAGGAGGGCGCCAAACTTCCAGCTCACTTCGCCACAGAGAACTGAGCCGGAAGTGGGAGCGGGTACCTGTCAAAAACAGGTATCCGCTCCCCTGTGCCCTCAAAAGGTGCCAAATATGGCAGTGGAGGGGGGGGGAGGAAAATAAGCAGAGCTTCCGCTTTTGAGTGGAACTCCACTTTAAACTGTGAAGGGCAGGTGTAACTCACACTCCTGTGGCAGATGATGCAAACCTGAAAAGAAGGGTCGTACACCCTTTATTAGAGACTACTCAGAGAAAACATGGTTCTGCCATGATGTTCTGTCTGAGCAGTGTCCAATAAAGTTTCTACTAGGTGTGTGAGACCCTCCTTTTCAACTGGCATAGAATTTTATTATTCTCATAATGATTAAAAGCAGATTTCCAGAGCACCCCACCCCTCTTACATCACGTCAAGAGCCCCCACCATCAGAAGTCAAAAGTCTCTCACCCTAGAAAAAGCCTAGAAGAAGCTGAGGGGGGCCTAGAAAGCAGAAAGTACATGGCCTGGAGGAGGATTAGAAGAGGGCTGGGGCTGGTGTCAGCTGCCAGAATCTGCTGAATGCTGAGACCAGGGAAGGCGAAGACAAGGGGATGCTGCGGATGCACAGGGAGGTGCAGTATCTGTAGGAGTTCTGTCCCTCTCTTTGATGCCAAATGCTGAGATGGGGGGGGGGGGGGCAGAGATAAGCCTCTCTGCAGCTGCATGGAGAAGTGCAGATCCTGGCAGAGGAGTTCTGTCCACCTCTCTGCTGAGACAAGGTGGGGGCGCAGCTGGAGGAGAGCTGCAAGGGCCACATGAAATGGCTTGGTGGGTCGGATTCAGTCCAAGAATTTTGAGCTTGACACATGTGCTCTAAAGAAAACGAGTGGCACATGTAGACTGTCAACGTTAACCTTTCCCTCTAGCCATTCTAGTTCCTTGGTTGTCATGATGATCTTGTGGGATCAATCAGCACCAGATTTTCATCACTGGAGCCTGTAGGCAGACAAATTTTGTTTCCCAACACTTTGTTAGGATCATCTTCTTTTTTAGTGTTCATGGTTCATTAGTGTTCATGGTCCTAATCTGGCTTAGAATATAGAAATAATGTATAAATACATTCCAAACAATAATGGAAATGTGTTGCTAAAGTATTATCCAGGAGAAAGTTACCTCATTACCGCTTACCTATGAAACAATAAGTCTGATTTACTAAAGGATTTTAGAATGTTTGCACAATAAAATGTGTGAAGAGTCACTTTAATTATCCTATTGTGAAAAGAAAATCATACAGGGGAGAATGACCTCTTTACTACCTGTAGGAACCTACTGTGCTTAAAGTGTTACTAAACCCACAACAGTAAAATCTATGCAGTAAAGCATGCTTGTTATATTCACTGTGGAAGCTAAGGGGTTAATCCTCCACATTGTGTAAAAAGGATATTTGATCATCTCTTCTCTGATCCTCCCTTTCTTCCAGTGGCTCCCAAATATCTCCTGATAGAACGGAGGCTAGGGACAAGCTGCACATGCTCAGTTTAGTGTGTATTGCTAGAGAGTTCTTTTTTCTTGGGAGAGTGCATGTGATCAGCACAGGGCCAAACAGCACTGTCCAGACAGAGGTCAGAGGTCCTGCATCCTGCTACAAAAAACTTCTCCTACAAGCTGTAACCAGTGCTCTGCTGGACACTGATAGAAGTCACAAGACTGCTCTAACTGCTTATAAGATAAGGTATTTAGCAGTTTAAATTCACTAAAATAGTTGCATTTCCAAGTTGTGTGTACTGTGGAGATCAGATAGAGTGAATGTAGGGTCCTGGGTTTAGTAACACTTTAATATTAAAATCTACCCTAACTGCAATGCACGAACCAATGAGATAAAGCAAGAAGGCTGATTAGTAGTTTTGACTTCATTCAAACTTTTTTATGCAAGCTTGTTTCACATCAGTGACTCAGGTAGTGATAAAGCTAAAGACATCCAGACACCTAAAATTATCAGAAGGAGGTCAGCAATCACTGCCATCATATTTCTCTTCGTATGGGTGTTAAATAGTAATTCTAAATTCATAATTCGGCACGTATAGGAATTATATTTATAGCAAGCTTGTAAAACATTTGGTTTTTATGATTAATCATAATTAATATTAAAATGTGTGGTTGGCATTGAAAAAGTGATAGTATTGAATTTTTCCATTATAGCTGAGCCAGAAAAATGAGTATTTGGAGTTAAGTTAACTAGCTGGAAGCTGAGTATTTAGGACATTTCTGTAGATGGGCATAGCTGGTTATAAGATCTCTGGTATAGGGTGTCATGGGAGTGAGAAGTATACCAAAATAGAATTATTATGAAATAATAAATGGTAATATGTGTTACATAAGTAGATTTTTGGTTATACATTATTGAGATATTATGTTGTAAAGATAGATTCTTAGTTATACTATCCTTTGAACTGAGAAACTGGTCACATGAGTAGGCTGATGCAACATTGTCATCTTTAACTTATGAAGCCACATTTAAAATCAAGAATAGTTACATATGGGCTTGTCAATCAAAACACCATATATGTAGTGTCCCCTCCATTCAATGAAATCTCTCTACTAAGCAGAATTGTTTGCCATACAAGGTTCTGAGTTATGAGAATTATGACGCCTACATGTAACATAAAAAGACATCCTAAGTGATCTAAAGAACACTCAACACATACATACACATGTCTGTCCATTCATACACATACAGCCACACAGACACTCACAAGCAAAGCATGAAGACACTATGGTTATTCGCATACTGAGAAGCTGAAACAGATGCATTCTCTTAGAGAGCTATGATCACATCACTTCCTTCATCTTGCTCAGACTCATGCTACATTGAATAGACGAGAAGCACAAGGCAGGACAGCCATGACTCTAAGCTTGACACATCTTTATAACTACTGTTTTTATATTTTTGTTTTACCTACACTGAACCGTTAGTCATGATACATTTTACATTGTTATTTTAAGCCATTGTGTGAAACAATAAAATCACACTTTATTTTTATTTGCCAGCTCTTTAATGATCTGAAATCGCGCAAAGACACTAAAAATTATTATGTGTCCCAAAAAATTCTACAACTGGTTCATTTTAAAATGATTGATATACATATTTAAATAGTAAGAATTAAAGTAGTTCTAAAGGCTCAAGGTTTTTCATCTTCATGCATTCTATGCATGAAAGTAAAAACCCTTCTGTGTGCAGCATCACCCCAGCCCCTCCAATACTCCCCTAAGCCCCCTCTCGATCCAGCATTGGAGTTTCAGCTATTCCGGGACTCCATCTTCTCATTGGCTGAGACAAAAGCGGGAGCCATGGCTCCCACTGCTGTCAATCCCAGCCAGTGGGCCAATGAGAAGTGAGAGGGGGCAGGGTCGAGCCTCGGCTCCATGTGTGAATGGACACACGAAGAAGCAAGTGCCTCCGCAGCAAGCTGCTTGCTGTGGGGGCACCCGACAGAAGGGAGGGGCCAGGAGAGCCAGCAGGGGACCTGAGAAGAGGAGGATCCAGGCTGCCCTGTGCAAAACCACTGCACACAACAGATAAGTATAGACATGTATGTATGTATTTTTTCTTTAAAAAAATAAACCTTTAGAATCACTTTAATACCAAGAATAAGTAATAAGAATTAAATGTTACTTGTCATAGATCTGTATAATTGTAATAGCATGAAGTAATAATAGACAACTGAGATTTTAGAGAGTAAAAATTAATTTCTTTCAAATTATTTTTAGTGTAGGGAAAGCACAAAAGGTTCCCTTTAACAAAATGGATTACCATCAAATCTTTGCCTAGGTGCTTTGGGATTACACAAACTGAAGTAAAATTGGCCTTACCTTAAAGCAATATAAGCAGATACCCTTAACCCCAGTGGAGTAAGAATTTTTTTGTAAATGCACCTGCTCATGTCATGCAACCTCAGTGCGTTTAAAGGAGACATATAGGAAATAAAAAAAAGCATACTATACATACTCACCTATATGGCTGCAGCATCAGCCTAATGCCACAACTGTCCTCTGCTGACTCTAAGCCTGAGAACTGAGCAATCACATGACAGCTGATAACTCAGTCCTCAGTCCATCATGAGCAGAGAGCAGTGACTGTCAGTCACTGCTTTCTGCTCTGCCCCTCCAGTACTCACTGGAGGATTGGGCTGTGGAGTAGTGAGGAGCAGCTGGCTCTGGCTCTCAGTGACTTGTCTGGACCAGTTCTGTGACATCAGCCAGAAGTTGGCTTTAACCCATTGTTGGCTGATTCTGGGTCACAAGTGTGCAAATGTAAGTGCACTCCTGTGACTCACAGGTGAGGTTTGGCATAAAAAGCTTTAGCCATACTTCTCTTTTAAGTGTAGTGCCTTGTTGTCTGATTTTAGTATCACCATGAGTGCTGCTTGTTCCTAATATTTTCTAGCCAAATGAGAACTGTCTGTGCCTAATGATTCCCAGTGGATTTGTGATCTAAAGTGAAATTGTGGGAAAGGTTTATAGGCAGAGCTTTTTTTCCCCCTTTTTTCAGCTACTACTATGCAGACAAAGAAGGCGAAAGAACGGAGAAGGTGACAACTCCACCTGACAGATAAATCTGAAAACATATCCTGCAAAAAGTTATCATCCTACATTATCACCTATACGTTTATAAAGTAAACTTTCCTAAAAGATTTTTGAAACCACAAGTAAGCAGGGCCATGGGCCATTTTTTTCCTGGGGAGTCAGCTGTCTCAAAATTGCAAGAGAAACACTAGATGGTGCCCTTTACACCTGTTCAGTAAGGTTGGCTACAATGGCGTTCTGTGAAAGCAGTGCATGCAAGATCATGAGTTGGGCCTTAGTGTCTGCGAAAAAAAGTGCTTCATGTACAATGTGCTGTGGCAGAAATTGGGTGCGGTTTTCATAGCGCTGAATATTGGATATGGCTTAAAGGGACATAGAGTGCAGGGGTTCAGGTATAGGTAACGCAGAGTTTAGGGGTCAGTAGTAAGTGACGCAGAGCTCAGGGGTCAGTAGTAAGTGACGCAGAATTCAGATGTCAGTAGTAGGTGGGGCAGAGTTCAAGGGTCAGTAGTAAGTGATGCAGAGTTCAGAGGTCAGTAGTGAGTCAGAGTTCAGAGGTCAGTAGTAAATGATGCAGACTTCAGGGGTCAGGAGTACGTAACACAGAGTTCAAAGATCATTAGTAGATTATGTAGAGCTCAGGGGTCATCCAGGTACCCCAAGACTGCACTGTAAGGGTGGGTGCTACCGTTGCCTGCCTATGTGATTTGGGCCAGGGCGCGCCAGCCCTGGGCAGTCAGGCAGACATAATGAATATTGCGACTAAATTGGAATGAGTGAGTATGCATTAGTAGGCAGAGAGAGCAAAAGCCACAGTCACTTACCTATATACTGGCATCTGTGTGGTGAGCAGTCTAGGAGCTAGAAGTTGAGAGAACTGCAGGCACTGGACAGCATTGCTGATCTAATTCAGTGGCCAAAAGTAGAGCACGTAGGTGGGACCTAAGCAGCATTGCAGTCTAGGCATATTACATAATAGTTCTTGCAAAGGGGCCAGCTGTCACTCCGCCTGTCACTTGGCCCAGCAAATCACAAAAGTGCTATACGCAGTATCAGATACACTGCAGATTGCTCTGCCTGTCATTTTCATTTTACTGACTGTTACATTGTTATGGAGTAGCACAATGGCCTTGGGTACTTAGGCAGGGAGCTCTGGGGGGGTTTGGACCCCATAACCCCCCTGAACTACACCCCTTAGAATTAAAATGTCAGAACAAACTGAGTTACCTGTCTCTAAAGGGACACTGTAGCTAGGCAGACTTGTTCCTTCAGAAGTGGAGGCCAGCACATGAACCATATGCATTGATCCACATGGAAGTTTCCCCAGTATGCATGAAGTGCCTGAGCTGGTGCAGTTCCACAATCCATTCTCTCCTCGTGCAGTCACTGTGTACTCTGCACCATCGTTATCAGACTCCCAGATAACCATAAAGCTACTTACATCAACTGTTGTGATATTCTTGATTTCAGGGCTACATGGAGCTGGAAGAAAAACAAATTGCTTAGTTTTTCACTAAAAAAGTTTTCATTTTGGAGAAGATCAACTGGAGATAAACTTACTATCCTTATATGTAGACTTTATATGTAGACATGTGTATGCCAGAAAGTTTATTTAGTTTTGGATGCATTTGTTAATTGAAGAATTTTGTTTCATCATATTCGTTATGTTGAACCAATTCGTTTTCGAAATTCATTTAGTATCTTTAGCATTTGTTTCATATATTTAGTGGTACGGGTGGATTCCAAAAATTTTGTAGTGTTTCTGGAAGAATTCTACATATTTGGTATATTATCAAATCGGACAGATTAGAATCAGAAGGATTCAATATTTTTTAACGCTAGTCCAACCCACCAAGAGAAATGACATGAGCTGATTGGACAATATCGACTGGCATCACTGTGCATCCAAATTAATGAATGGAATGAAATTCCCATTCCTTATCCAAAATCCAAAGTATTGAACAAATTTGAAAATGTAATTCTTTTCCCCATGGGCCTGAATTACTATCACATCATGTGACATCATCCAAATGAAATGAATTAAACAAATGCATTAGTTAATTTTGTTATAATTTGTTTTTTTAATTTGTTGATCTTTATCCATTTGGAAATTCGTATACATCCTAATCTTAGAAAATAGTATTTTCGTCCTAAAAACAAATTGTAACAAAACGAAAAACACATCTACTTATGTGTTGTGTTCTGAAATTTAGCAGGGAACCTTTTGTCAAAATATAAAATGTGATGCTTTGGTTAATAAAATTTTCAGCAGTTATGACATTATTCAAAACACTTCACAAACGTGGAACAAACTGTTATTACTCTATAAGGCCACATTCACATCTGAGTGATGTAGATTCGCAAGCTAAATCTGCCTACATTTACAAATTGTGCTAAAATCATGGCAAAATATGTGACATGTGTTTGGGTGCCATACACAAGCACGACAAGATGTGCAAAAATTGCAGCAAAATGCAAGTGAAAAAACACTCCTGGCTCAGGGCCAAAATTTGGTCCTTGAGCTTCTTTGGCACGACAAACACACATAGGACAGCCTATTCAAGTGAATGTGCTTGCCTTATGTGCGACACACAAAAAACACATGTAAATCATGCAAAAAAATATCATCAGCGGGAAAGCACTCTCCCGCTACATGAAAGTGAATGGGGCCGAAAATGTAACTATCACAGAAAGGAGAAATACAGTATAAATGTTTTTTAGAATGTCTATATACAGCTAATTAAGAGATGCTTCCTTTTCAGCATCATCAAATAAGAACTGCAGGTATAATACATAAAACATTAAGAATGCTTATATGAAGTGAAAAGCCATTTGTCTTTAAAATTACCATGTTTTTGTATGTACAGTACTATTTAAAAAAAAACATACAATTTAACAATGAGGTAAGAAAATTGTATTTTCTAAAACTAGACACTACATACAAATCACACCAGTTTACTTTCCCATCATCGGTTTAAGCAGTAATTGAAACTTGCTATTAGAATCTATCCAGACAGCCAACAAAAGGTATCAGTAGTCTTTCAATTTGCCTTCTTTTGTGAGCTGATAACAATATACATTATTATATTAATAATTATTATACTACTGCATTCACATATTTGTCTGCTTTAGGCCTTGTTCAGATATCACATTGTGGGAACAAGCTTTTCTACTTGCGATTTTAAAAGCAGGATTTACACACAAGTCTGCCTGCATGCTGCATCCATGGTGCGCTTTCAGTAACCGTGACAAAAACACACAACCTAATAGAAAGTCTATGAGACCGCAGCTCAAACGGCAGGTAAAGTGCACAAAAATTGCAGATGCACCCGCACTGTGGTCAAACTACAGCGCACCAGTGTGAAACCAGCTTTAAAACAGTATTAAATGCAAAACCAAAAATGTTACATAATGCTACTTACCAATCCTTAGATGTGGTGGCTGCGATTTTTTTTTTTTTTTGGCTTTTTTCCCCTCTGTTTTCACCTAGTGATCTGGTCGGTAACATACTTTTTGTATTATAGTGCCTCCACTCTGGATGAATGAGCACAGGGAGCACTTTTGGGCAGCAGCATTATTTGTTTGGGGGGAGGGTGTTAGATCTACTAGCATACTTAGATACTCTAACAAATTGAAGCCAAACTGCTACTAATACTTTATAAGCAGTTACAGCAAACGTTTTTTTTTCCTTTTGGGGATAAAGATTCTACATAAATAAATAAGGAGGCTGATAATTAAAAGCACCTATCAGTGCTAAATGGTTTGTCTCATCCCTGTAGCTGCTACTTTTGCAGGAGAGCTAGTTCTTTTGAGTTACTGGCAGAATCAGCAGGTGAAAATAAATGAATAAAAGCCTAAAAAAGAAAATGAAGGTAGTCATCACATCTAAGAATTGGTAAACTGCAATATATTAAATATTTGCTTTTGGGTTTAATCCTGCCTATCTGCACAGTCATTTAAGCCAGGTATATTATTGTACTGCATACAAAAATAAAATTATATATATATATATATACAAATCATTACATACAATGATTTATACATACCTGTCTTCATATACTTTGATGCACATGAGGTATTGCTGCCTCTGTTTTCACTGTAGGAAAAGACAGTTACATTGTACTGTGTATTACACTGGAGGCCAGAGAGGGCACAGACTGTGGCGGTGTCATTACAGAGGATGACAGTGGTCCCATCAACTGCCTTGGTCTCATACATTTCTGCACCTCGCACACCAGACCAAACAATCTCCAGAGTATCCCCAGATACGAAGGCTGGAGTAATATCACTAGGGCAACAAGGAGCTGTAGAACAATAATATGTCATGTAAGATTTGGTGCAAACAGCAAAGCAATACAGTAAGTACACATCAACATAAGTTACCATCTACCCCAGTAGTAGCCATTTCTACCCTTACCACTCGGTAAGCAAGCCATCTGGAACTTCATCTTGGTACACTGTTATAAAATGTGCCCAGGGCATAGTGACCATTTGGAAACCAGGATACCAGGGGCGGACTGACAACTCATGGGGCCTCCGGGCAATAGGGGATCATGGGGCCCCTGTGTCCTAGCCCACACTCAAACCACACCCAAAAAAGCCTATGAAAAAGGTACCAGGGGCATCTCATGGGGCCCCCTTCTGACCCCGGACAGTGCCCCAGTTCCCAAATGGTCAGTCCACCCCTGCAGGATACTGTATATTAATGTAAGTAAACAAAACTGATAAATGGTAATGATATGATACTCACTATAGGAAACTGTAGTGCCACATTGTAATTTTGCTAAATAATCAGATCTTTATTAAAATCCATTGCTGCCACATTCCGCAAGTATATGTGTGCTTCTAGACATTGTCACCTTTCAAAATTATGCATACTATTCATCTTTTACCTTGAAGATTAGTGCTCAGCCAATGCAAATATTTTCTTTTCTTTTTTCAGACTATCTCACAATTTTACTTGCATCATTGATATTTTGTAACAAAGTTTATGGGGTCTATATATAAAAAAACCTAAAAATTGCTTTGCGAATGTCTCGGCATTCATGCAAAGTCATGAATAATACTTGTAATCTTTGTAATATATCGGTTTCTATTGTCCCCTAAGAGAAAAAAAAATCCTTAAAGTGGTTGTAAAGGCATTTGTTAACTAAAATAATAAACATGTTATACTTACTTGCTCTGTACAAATTTCTCTTGTGGGGGTCCTCTGCCAGCGCTGTCTGTTCCTCCTCTTCTGCTTATGTGCTATGGGGGCACGCATGCAGACGCTCGCCAGAGCCGGGCTGTGTGTGTTGATAGACACACATAGCACAGCTCGGGCCTGGCACCCCCTCCGCCCTGCTCCCTCCTCATAGGATTTGACTAATAGTAGCAATGGCTCCCAATGTTCTCAGTGAAGCCTGTGAATGCAGGAAGAGAAGAGAGCGGGGCTGCTGGCAGGAACAGTGCTGGTTTGAGAGTGGTGACAAGCAAGTGTTTGGAGGAGCGCACAGCAAGTTGTAAAATGTTTTTTACCTTAATGTAGGAAATGCAATAAGGTAAAAAAAAAAAGGTTTTAATTTTAGAACCACTTTAAAAACATTTGACTGATAGAGAAAATATTTTAACACTTTAGGCTAAAAACAATTACCCTGAAGAGGATATAATATGAGTGAGACCTCACACTATGTACAAATTGAGTATAAAGATTCCTATGCTCACCACCAACAGTGCAATTTAGCAGCCACTGCTGAGAGTGAACAGCTATACAGCTATACAGAATTGACACAATGCTGCAGAGATGAAGCTCTGTTGTTTAACAAGTTTATCGGACTGAAGCCCTTTACAGAGGAGCAGATCACCTAATCTCTTCAACAAAAAATGACTCATTACACTGTCAGTGATGAGCACTGACAGAACCTTCAAACACTGCACGATTGCATGAGCTTGCCTAGAAGAGGTGAATGCAGAATGATGACCTTATCAGTGTGTTGCTTCCTCAGTGTCTAATCAATAGGGTTGGTCCAGAGGGATAAACAAGCTGTAAGCCAAAATAAGGAAACACTATATGAGCATAACATTGAGATCCTGGGATCATGCTTTTTTTTTCTTTTAATTCCATTTTAAAGTTTAGATTTTTTTTGTAAACTAGCACAGATCAGTGTCCCATATGTTGGTGGTTCCTTAAAATTTTCATCCCTTTGCCCCCTGACCCCACACAGCCGTGATCTTCTGGTGCTGTCAAGCTAATACAAGCAGCTCCACCTGTCATGGGCACTTGTCAAAAGTGTTGACTATGCCCATACTTTCTGCCCCCTGCTCCATTTATAGAAGCTATACTATTAGTCCTCACAATACAAGCTGACCTCAATGTACTGTTTAATTGGGCAACCATGTGGCAAATGAGGTTTAATGTTGATAAATGTAAAGTTATGCACTTGGGGGCTAAGAATATGCATGCATAATACATACTAAGGGGAGTACAACTGGGGAATCAATGGTGGAGAAGGATCTTGGAGTTCTGGTAGATCACAAGCTTAATAATGGCATGCAATGCCAAGCTGCGGTTTCTAAAGTGAGCAAAATCCTCTCTTGTATTAAGAGGTATAGACTCCAGAGAGAGAGAGAGAGATCATATTACCCCTGTACAAATCATTAGTAACACCTCATCTGGAATATGCAGTACAGTTTTGGGAAGCAATTCACAAAAAGAACATTAGGGAACTTGAGAAAGTACAGAGAAGGGCAACTAAACTGATACGAGGCATGGAGGAGCTATGAGGAAAGATTAGAGGAACTGAATTTATTCTCTCTTGAGAAGAGGAGATTAAGGGGGGATATGATCAACATGGATAAATACATCAGTGGTTCATATAGTGAACTTGGTGTAGAGTTATTCACCTTGAGGTCATCACAGAGGACAAGGGGGCACTCTTTACGTCTGGAGGAAAAGAGATTTAATCTCCAAATACGGAAAGGTTTCTTCACAGTAAGAGCTGTGAAAATGTGGAATAGACTCCCTCAAGAGTTGGTTCTGGCCAGCTCAGTGGATTGCATTAATAAAGGCCGGGATTCTTTCTTGGATACACAGAATATAACTGGATACTAACATTTATAGGTAAAGTTGATACAGGGAATATCTGATTGCCTCTCGGGGGAATTTTTTCCCCTCAGGAGCAAATTGGATGCTTTGCTGGTTTTTTTTGCCTTCCTCTGGATCAACTGTGGGTATAGGATTATAACTTTTTTTTTTTTGACTTGGATGGACTTTTTTCTTTTTTCAGCCAGACTAAGCATGTAACTATGTAATAATGAGGAGTGTGCTATAAATGCAGACCTTTCATTCACCCACCCATCCTCCATTCATAAAGTGCTATTTATTGCAGGAACTGAGTACAGTTTCTACAAATGGAGCAGGGTGCTCCACTAAACACTTTATTTTGTTACACTGATAAAATAATGAAATTTAAATACTCAAATTTGTTCACTATTTTAAAAGCTCTCAAACATTCAGAAGTGATTTTTTTTAGTGCAGTTTGCTATTGATGGAACCATGACTTTGCTTACTTATGGTGAAAAAAAAAACTATTGATAGGTTTATTTTGTGTCTTCACATTTAAATTGGTTGTAAAGACTTAAGTTTTTTACCTTAAAGCTCCATTCACACTTGTGTGACTTGTTATGAGACTTGGACATGATAAGTCGCATAGCTCATTCTTTTTAATGGCACCAATTCAGATCTGTGCAACTTGCAGTTGCAGCAATTTTGATGCCTGCACTACTTTGATGTGACTTTTGACTTACATCCAGAGAGTGTAATGGTGGATCAAAATCACACTCAAAGTCGCAGTGGAAATTGTGCCACTTTGGAGTTGCACAAGTGTGAATGGAGCATAATGCATTTTCTGCATTAAGTTTAAAAACCCTCTGTGATCAGCTCCCCCCCAGCCCCCCTAAATGCTTACCTGAGCCAGAACACACATGTACCCAAGAGTAGGGCGCTGTTCTCTCTCTCTCCTCACTGGACATGGGGACAGCAGCCATTGGCTCCCGCTGCTGTCACTCAATTCATGTGAGGAAGGAGTTGGGGGCAGGGCTGAGCCACACTGTGTGTGTCAACAGATGCACATAGCCCAACTCAGAATCAAACCCGCACATCTGCCCCTCTAGCAAGCGGCTTTCTAGAGGGGCAGACAGAGAAGAAGATGAGCAGACAGAACTGGTAGGGAACCCCAGAAGAGGGAGTTCAGGGCTGTTCTGTGCAAAACTATTGCCCACAGCAGGTAAGGGTAACATGTTTGTTGTTTAAAAAAAATAACTTTACAATCATATTAAATATACTTGTCTTGATGTACTGTTTATAGTTCACATCTGCTTACCTGTAGTATAATTTAAGAGCTCACCCAGGGGGCTTTGCCCTGCCTTGTTATATGCAAAGACGCTCATAAAATAGATGAACCCACATTCAGATGGAAAATAACAAGGTGACTGGGATGTGTTGCAGTGAACTTCAAAACCATCATCACTCTTCACAAACACAACATAATAATCAGAGAGGTTTCCATGAGACCATGATACTGTGAGATTCCCGGGATTGTCCTCCACAACTGCGATCCCAATAGGTGCACATGGAACTGAGGGTACAAATATATTACTATAAATCCAGCACAATATTGACAAATCAACAAATAAAAATGTAAGAGCAATTATCTTCTCCCTATTTGCTAAAGGTATCCTGTTTTTGCCTCTTAATCTGGCTATACACTAGTAGATTTTTAGAATGAGCGTTCATATGAATATTCCTTGTACACTCTATGACTGTATAATTGTCACGTACTTCAAATTTTTGTTTGCATTAACATAAAATTTTGAAATGAATGCAATTTCCCAAAGGAAAACCACCTGCACTGTTGGAAATTCAAAAACGTTTTCCATCCTGTTTTCTCTTCATTGTGGTCGAGAACGAATGTTGTTTTGACCACACTAACATTTGGAAAATTGAATAAATGAAACATTTTGAAGAATATTCTATTTGTGTAAAAGGCAGGTTTACCCTCAAACATTTGATTAGCAAAGTTACATTGACACCGGCACTCTTTTCACTTATTTCATTATTTGTTAAATATACAGTATTGGTATTGAAAAAATTGCCTTCATACTTAAGTAGTATTTTTTTCATTCATGGTACAGCTATTTTAATTCCATTTAGCTTGTTTAATCCTATTTAATCTTATGTAAAACACAATTAAAATCTACTGTTGCAAGGTTTCTCATTATGCAGATATTTGATTTCAAATATACTAAAGTTACAGGTATCAGTGTATCCATTGTTTGATGTTGCAGCTGACTCTTCTTGTGTCTGAATGACGGCTTCATGCAAACTAAAAAAATGCAGGGAACAAATGCTGGATAAAAAACACTGGTAATAGCATTTTTTAGTAGAGTTTTAGCCTTTTGGTAGCGTTCAAGAGAGTTAGCATTTTATTAGTGTTTTTACAGTACATGTACAGAAAAAAAAAGCTACAGAAAAAAGCTGTTATGAGCGTTTAGCGTTTTTTTTCTGCTGGAAAAACACTCCAAAAAAACTCTACAAAAAACACTAGTTTCTAGGAGAAGAAAAAAATATACTGATAATAGCTTCTAGGAGCTTAAAATGCTAGTGTGCATGGAGCCTTAACCTAACACAGACAAATAAATATTTTTTCTTGAAAATCAATTTTGTTCCAAACAAAAGGGTGGATCTTTGGAAACCTGTCAGAAATGCATAAACTGACATTTTTGCCCCCATCTCCTAGCCCCCAATACACAGAGCTCCCCTTCACCTCCTAGCCCCCCAATACCCAGAGCACCCCCACCTGCTAGCACCCCCAATACACAGAGCTCCCCCCACCTCCTATCTCCCAATACACAGGGCTCCTCCCACCTCTTAGCACTCCTCAATACACAGAGCCCCCAATACACAGCGGACCCCCCCATCTCCTAGCATCCAGAATATACAGAGCTCTTCCCTACCTCCTAGCCCTCAATACACAGAGCTCTCCTCCCCCTCCTAGCCTCCCAATACACAGAGCTCCCCCCACCTCCTAGCACTAATCAATGCACAAAGCTCCCCCTACCTCCTAGCCTCCCAATACACAGAGCACCCCTCACCTCCTAGCCCCTAATACACAGAGCTCCCTTCCACCTTCTAGCCCCCCAATACATAAAGCACCCCACCTCCTAGCACCTCCAATACACAGAGCTCCCCCAGTCTCCTAGCTCTCCAATATGCAGAGCTTCTCCTCACCTCCTAGCACCCGCAATACACAGAGCTCTCCCCACATCCTAGTCCCCAATACACAGAGCTCCTCTCCACCTCCTAGACCTCCAATACACAGTGCTCCCCCCCACCTTCTAGACCCCCAATACACAGAGCTTCTCTCGCCTCCTAGCGCTCCTCAATACACAAAGCTCCCCCCACCTCCTAGCCTCCCAATACACAGAGCTTCCCCCACCTCCTCGCACTCCTCAATACACAGAGCTCCCCTACCTCCTAGCACTCCTTAATACACAGAGCTCTTCCTTCCTGCTAGCCCTACACAGAGCTCTTCCTACCTGCTAGCCCCCAATTCACAGAGCTTCTGCCTCCTCTTGGTGGCCGCCCAGTACACAGAGATCCTCCCTCCAATCAGCATTCACCCAGTACACAGACCTAAGTCCTCCACCCCTACTCCCGGCAGCTGCCCAGTATACAGACATACCACTTCTCCCGGTGGCCGCCCCCAGTACAATGCTACTGAAGAGCACTCCAACCTTAGCCTCCTGGCAGCTGCTCCTCTTCAATTGAGGAGGAACTGTTACTTGAGGCGCGCTGTTTCATATGTGAACACAGAATCAACACTGGAAGCTGCTTCTGTGTTTAGAAGTGACAGCAGCTGGTAGGGGGAAGAGGATTATTGCTGGAGGTGGCAGTACAGAGTACCACCCTGCTCCTAACAAAAAAAATCCCTTCTGACACTTCAGTCACTCGCGCCCCTTCCACTGCACATACAGCCAGTGCCCAGGGTATGATTTCCTTCTGCCCTTGCCCTCTTCCTCGTCATAGCCACTGCCCCATGTTTCTTGTATAAGGGTGGCTCATTTCTCTTGCAGAATCCTAAGGGGCCAGTCTTGTATGATAAAAAGTAAAACACTCACAAGAAAAATAAAATCAAATGGAAAGCATGTCACAAGAGATGCAGTGTGGTCCAAGACCCCTAAAAGTGGTCTGGTGGGGGACTGTAGACCTCTGGATAGCTGATTTGTGGCGCGTTTCGAGGTTGAATCTCTTCCTCAGAGCCAATTGAGGGTTTAAAAATACTTTAGGTACCTTTGCCAAGGAACATCTACACTGTGTGTTGGCATGTGCACTTAGCTAGTCTGCCACTAGGTGGCTCTTTCCCAATCTAGAGTGGTAAAGGGGATTTTGTAACTGGGTGTTAGGCCCCTTTAGGAGAAAACCTTCCTGTAGTGATATATTGGGTAGAGTTAGTGCCCATATAAATGTCAGGATGGGAGGAGCCTTTCAAGTTATAAGAGTCAAACACCCCAGAGCTATTTGGATTTAGTCAGCTACTGCCAAGGGCCCTGGGCAGGGCTGAAACTCTGGGTAAGGTAGTTCAGCAGCCCGATGGACCAGCTGTAGTCGCTATGACTCTTTTACGGTCTGATGAGGACTATGTGCAGGATGCCAAAGAGCTTTTAGGCCAGGTCAAGTGTTCTCACTGACGTGAGTATTAGTACACCTGGGAACAAGTGTAACATCTGGGAGCATGCCCAGCTAAGCAGAGCTACAGTATAGAATAGGACAAAGAGAGAGACTGGTATATTTAAGAAAAACACCTTAATTAGACTTGGTGGCAGAAGCTGTAGGCTGCGGGATTAATATAAATAAATAAGTGGCCTTGACACTGTGATACTCCTAAAGAGAGGAGAAGTGAAGGGAAGATGGCTTACAAGTTATGTGCTGGTGCTCTGCACACAAATGACTGCTACACAATGGCTGCTTCTGTATGGTATGGTGTTCCACACCAAAGTATTCTATTAGATGTCATGACCATTCTTGAAAAGTTCCAGCAAAATTCAGAAAATTAATTACATGTGTGGACAGTCCTCTATTCTTTAATATTAAGGCCAAAGGCCAAGGATATCATGAGCAGGACTAAGGCCAGGAAATTGGCACAATAAGACGAAGGCTTTCATCTATCAGCAGGTGAATAGTTGCCCTATCCAAGAAGAAGCAGGAAGGGGATTCGACCAATTTGGTGTCAACAACCAGCCAATCACAAGCCCCCTTACATGTGCACCTGTAAAAATGTGTACCCAACTATACACATAAATATGCACAGTAAAAAAAGAATCAGCATGCACAAATTATTGCTATTACCATTAAAATGTGCAAGGGCACACCTTCACAATTCAGCACGAAATATTGTAATGTGACACCATGGGACAAAATATGATAACTGTATGATAGCTATTGGTAGTCTTGATAAGCTGATCACAAACATAAGGCTATAACTGTACTGCTACTGTACTTAATGTGTAAAGATATATAGCTAAACCAAAGGCGGTCACTGCTCAAATTTCGTCTGATTCCTGCTGGATGAAATTTTAACTGTGGGTGACCTTACTGGCACCCCCCTGCTCGATAAAAGTACATTTTTCAGTTGACTTTTGTCACAGGAGCCAGTCTGAAAATTCATCCAATTAGATGCAAGCACTGTTCAGGTATCATAATAGCTGGTAGCTGACTTGTTTCTATCCATACTGTTTAGCATGGATGGGGGAATATAATAATTTCTCTCGTTTGGCCGGCTTAAGACCACTCCATCCCATTCCCAGGTTTTAGCACTTCCTCCATTCTTGATAATCTCACCTAAACAAAAAGCATTAAACAGTTCTTCTAATCTTTACTCTTCCGGAAACAACACACCTGATAACAGACTCCAAGTTTTTGGTGCCAGCGTAGATCCTGCTTCATTGTTAGCTAAAAGGGACACCACATATTCTGTTCCACACTGTAAAGAAGTGATTGTGCATGGGGACACAGACAATGTACAGTTAATACTGGTGTCTCCACCATACAAAAGTATGGTGTAGTTAGATAAGCCATCAGCTTCAGCTACAAAGAATGTGGCTTCCAGAGCTCCACTGTTGAAAGTAATCTGCACATCTGATGGCGCAGCTGGACCTAAAATATAAATAAATAAAACAAAATTAATACATATATGCCAGTTTCTTTTTTTCCTACTGCTAATTATTGTGGGGTTTTATGACCATAAGCATTGGAATATTATATAGGTAAAGGTCATGGAGAACCTCAGGGAATTCTAATATTCCTACTAATTAATTAGTAATGGGGTAACTTAAAGAATAAATATACAGATTGAAAGACAGATGCTTTGAAAATTGAGGCACACAGACAATGACAGATGGATATAGCATGACAAACCGATGGAGAGACCATTATACAGTGAAGGAAATAAGTATTTGATCCCCTGCTGATCTTGAATGTTTGCCCACTCACGAAGAAATGATCAGTCTAAAAATCAAATGGTAGGTGTATTGTAACACTGAGAGACAGAATAGCAACAAAAAATTCAAAAGAAATGCATGTCTAACAAATTATGCACTGATTTGCATGTTCATGAGCAGGGGCGGACTGACCATTTGGAAACTGGGGCACTGCCCGAGGGCCGGGGGTCAGTAGGGGGGCCCCATGAGATGCCCCTGGTACCTTTTTCATAGGCTTTTTTGAGTTTGGGCAAGGACACAGGGGCCCCATGATCCCCTATTGCCCGGGGGCCCCATGAGTTGTCAGTCCGCCCCTGTTCATGAGGGAAATAAGTATTTGATCCCCTTCACAAAACATGACTTAGTACTTGGTGGCAAATTCCTTGCTGGCAATCACAGAGGCCAGACGTTTCCTGTAGTTGGCCACCAGGTTTGTACACATCTCAAGAGGGATTTTGGCCCACTCCTCTTGGCAGATCTTCTCTAAGTTCATTAAAGTTTGGTGGCTGACGTTTGGCAACTCAAACTTTCAGCTCCCTCCACAGATTTTCAATCGGATTAATGTCTGGAGACTGGGTAGGCCACTCCAGGACCTTTATGTGCTTCTTCTTGATCCACTCCTTTGTTGCCTTGGCTGTGTGTTTTGGGTCATTATCAGTGGGCAAACATTAAAAATCAGCAGGGGATCAAATACTTATTTCCTTCACTGTATGTACCTGAGAAAACTTCTCTGAGTTTATTTGTATTTTATTAAGCCACAAACACCTCAATTGAAACCCTGCCCAGGTTAAAGCAGGATCAGATTTAGTCTCTGAAGGACAAGGGTAGTGTTATTCAGCATTCATTTTGAAATTCATTTGGAACATATGTGTTAATGAGCTTCAAAACATGGCTGGGGGCTGATTCTGGAATGATTGATGTTTTGTGTGGTACTCTTACAGGTTGTTTTGACGCATTCAAGTGTAAAGCATTCAAAGATGTTAGATATATAATGATTGTGAGGATAAAGAGCTGCTATATTGCTTGAATGCCCTAGGTGAAATTTTTTAGAAGATTTTTTTTAAGAAGTTAAAATGTACCTAAATACTTTTATGCCATGAAACACTTATTTGTCTCCTTTCCCAAAATATTCTGCCTTCGGGAACATAGGGATTGATCATGTGATCTCTACCAGGATTCAGGTACAGCTTCTGACTAGCCAGCATTGCCCATAAGTCACCCTTTGGCATTGCCTACATGAACAACACTGGAAAGCTGCAAAATTATGATAGTTTAAAGAGACAAGCAGGTATTTTAACTTTCTGTTGAAATTTATTAGGAGCACTTTTCTATATATCAGATTATTTTGTTGAGAAGGGAGCCATCTTTTCGGTGTTCACTGCAATTGCACCTTAACTAATTATTCCTTTCAAAAAGAAAAGGAAATGCTTTGCATTTTTTAAATAAAGATATTCTATAAATCACTGCAGTTCCATTTCAGTTTCCAGAAAAATTCACCAGTGAAGGTCTCCTCTTTCTCCCTTTTATACACATACTATTTTCTTGTAAATCTATTCACTGTTTGTTAAAGCTATGATATATCTAGATTGTACTGTTATATATTTTATGCGGATTTGAAGGTAGCTATCTGCAAGGAAATGCGTTCATTGTATGCATTTGTAAGAGATGTGTAAAAACATACTGTAAGCTCAGCTTATGTGATTGTATTGCAATTTTACAGAACTATTCACAGAAGTAAATTCAGTTTTGGAATGAAACACAGTACTGCTTCTGTCAGTTGTTAGCTAGCTTTCGGCTAACCGTTAGCAGGACAGCATAAGCAATATGGGAATGTCTGTATCTAAATAATGTATGTAGAACAGTATAGGTGTGCTGTGAACTAAACAAATCCATAGACCTGTTAAAATTTGCAGCACATTAACCGAAACACATATTGAACTACGGATAAATAGAACACTGCCAATATTGTGTATTACTTACGTGTAATCTGGCTGTAGGTGATGTCATCTCCTGGTATTCCATTTGCATCCCAGGCATGAACTTTGATAGTATAAATGGTTCCAGGGTCCAGAGAGGTGAAGTTCAGGGATAAAGACGTGGTGTTCTGGTTCCACCTGGTGCCAGATCCATCTGATCTCATAACAGAAACGGAGTATAGAACAGCAGAAGGGACAGGCTGCCAACCAACACTCACAGAGTCACTGCTAAAGGATTCCACAGTGACAGATGCAGCTGCCAGAACTTAAATATAAAAGAAACTGTTTCAGTGACACAATAGTCATAGAAATTATGGGAATAGTTAAAATAAAATCACAGTCAGCAGTCATAGCATATACATTTTGAAATATTATAATACTACAGTATTTTATCTCTATCATTGCTTATTGCACCTTCCACCTTGATAATGAATTTGCATTAAAATATTTTTTTCAAATGCTAATACTATTTACGATTTTTGTCAGTAGAGGCCCCCAGATTGCATTCTAATACATGATGGGATATGGAGGGTTTCAGCTTAGGTCGCTTTTAACATAGGGCCTTGATCATGTATGTTATCTGCATCTGCTGATGTATCATCAACATATATAAGCTGCTACAATTCTAAAGACATGAGTGCACCCAGCCATAATGCATTTATTTTAGAGCACAGATCGCCAAACTAAGGGACAGTTTACTGCCCTTTAGCCCTTAGTGGGGCTGGACTGTGGTCCATGGGAGTATAAAATGGTATCACTGAAAAGAATAGTGCCCCAACAATTGTGTCAGTGAGATGAATAATGTCCCATCTTTGGTGTCAGTGAAGGAATAGTGCCTCATCACTGGTGTCAGTGGAGGAATAGTTCCTCACCATTGACATCAGTGGGAGAAATAATGCCTCATATCAGTGGAAAGAGAAAGAGAAATAGTGTCCCAAGGGCCAGATAAAGGCAAGCAAATGACCACAGTCTGGAGACCACTGTTTTAGAGCATAAAACATGTACAATGAAATGTACAACTTGGCCCAATTTATCATCAACATCATGATCAAGTGAGATTTGTTTTACCCATCAGCAGATGAATTAAATGAAGCTTGAAATCAAGCATTTCACTGAAAAGCTTTTGAAACAAAGACAATCTACAGATGCAAACAGAAATTCACACAGACCTACACATGCTCTATTGTTGCTATACTGATTCTTGATTTAGAGCCCATTCACACCATGTGCAGTTACCTGTGTTTTTCCATACTGGATGAACACATCTAACTTCAAAGACACATAGAAGACAATAGTTTTGCATATGGCATGTTCACACTAGACGCTAAGTTTATATATGCTCCAGAGCTGTGCATTAAAATGTGACATGTTTGCATTTTATAGTACAGAAACACAAATAAACATGTAAAATGTAAAATGCTCATAAATGCACTGCACTGCAATTCTCACTCATGACAGAAACAGAAATCAGATTAGAGGAAATGTGCTTTTATAAAAAAAAACGTAATTGCACATATAAACACACATTAGCATTAAAATGCACATAAATGTGAGTAAATACACATAAATTCATGTGATTGCAAGCCAACGGAGATTACTTTTTTAGGTTTTCTATGTGCGTCATTGTGTGAATGGGCCCTAAATCTATTTCCAGACAGCCTTTTTGAGGTTTTGGCTACAGTGTGGAAGAGTTAAAATTTCTGGCAGGTTTTTAAAGGAGAAGTATGGCCAAAGCTTTTTTTGGCTATATTTCCCCTATGAATCACAGGAGTGAGGTTTGTTCTGCACATTTGTGACCCATTTTCAGCCAACAGCAAGCTAAGGCCCACTGTCAGCAGATATCACAGAACCAGTCCAGTTTCTGGAAAGATCCTGACCATATGGTCGGGATCCACCCATAAGCCTGACTGGTAGCTGGCTAAACCTGCCTGAACCTGAGCCAGTCATTCCCACCCCCTCCACAGTCCTACGCTTCAGTGAGTGCTGAAGGGGAAGAGCAGAATGTTCTCAGTTCTCAGTGAATACTGTGAACTGAGCGATCAGCGTTCTTTGATCACTCAGTTCTCAGTCTTGGAAGTGCAGGGACAGATGCAGTATCAGATAGATGCTGCATCCACCCAGGTAAGTATGATATTTTTATTTTCTGCTAACCCCATACATCTTTTAATTCTGTCTGGGATCCCATTGGGGAATTTCTCTTTCTTCATGTTCCTGTGAAACTCATGCATAAATTGGGAGTGCAGTTGTCATGGGGCAAGGAATGCATGAACAATAAAAACATTGTCATAAGTTTACCCTTCCTCAGTCTCCTAAAAAAGTGTTTTTGATTTTGCCTGGGCCCCTTTTGGAAAGAGTTTCCACAAAGAATACACAATTTATATTTTGTGTATTCTTTGGTTTATCAATTGTTTGATATTCGTTTATTGGTATTCATTCACAAATACTCATCATCCAGTTATCCTATTGGGTTTATAGGGTCCATTCATATATTTTATATTCTATTTAAGTACAGCACCTATCTATTTACTACTAAACCACCTACAAGTGTCACAATCACATTTTAGGGGCAGCTGTAAAACATTCTAGGGGGTTAATTTATCAACACTTATCACTAATTTATCAACACATGTCACTTTCAATTGGCACCACAATAATTCATTTTTGTTTGGTTAAAACAAAATAAAACACTTGGACTAGAGTTGGCCTATAGGTTAACACATAAAATTTTCTTTGTATTTTCAACTGAACTTTTTAGATAATTCTTTGTTGTTACAAACATCTTACCTGTTTTTGCCCATTTAGGAGGAGAAGGTTGGCTCTTTCCAGCTGAATTTATGGATCTCACTGTAATTTTGTAGGTTGTAGCTGCTTGTAGGCCTGTTACTGTTCCTGGGGAGCCTGTGACAGTAGACTCAAAGAAAAGTGTTCCAGCCTGAGCAATTACCTGATAGCTTGTAGCTCCTGCCACATCTGCCCATTCCACAGTTATACTATTGCTCAACTTTGAGTATGCCTGATCAATAACAGGTACCTCAGGTGCTATAGAAAAGTAAACAATAAAAAGTAAGACAAGTCCAGAAAAATTCATTATTGACAGTGCCTTAAAAAGGTATAAATAACCCACTAACCTGTCAGTTGAAGGATCTGAGCATGAGCCATAGTACTACCATCTTTGTCCATAGCTTCCACCATTATAGTATAGTTAGTATTTGGCAGGAGTGTGTTTATTGTTCCTATTACAGTGGCTGGATTAAACACTGCAAAGGAAGATTGGCCTAGTGATAAATAAGGGGATGCTGTGATTTTATATGACATGGCACCTGTAACTTTAGACCACCGGACATAGATGCTTCTGGATGTAACATCATACGTAGATATTGAGAAACCTACAAGGAACGCAAATACAGATGCATCAATGTTATACATTTAGAGGTTTTTGTTAGCATATTTGGTTAAACCTGTTTGCTATATTAAGCCAAATTTCATGTCCGATTTTACTCATAATCAAATGATTCACAAGGCCTCATTCACGCAGGCAAGGACATACATACGAGTTTATGCATTTATATGCTTTAGTAAGACATTAGATGTTTAATTTAATGATTTTAAATGATATCATTCTTTGCGTTTAGATGCATTCAGGTGCATACAGCTTAGCTGCATTTAGAGAAAAAATAGGATTCTGTGTATCCAGGGGCAGATTAACCCCTTTTCTACCAAGGTACATTTAATAAACATCCTGGTAGTCAAGGGGTTAAATCAACCTCATGGATGCTGACGTAGCTATGAGCCAAATCTCAACAGTTATGTAAAAGTGATCTAGGGCAGCCCTCAAATTTTCCACTAGCCTGCTTGCATTTGGCGAGAGGAAATAATAGGACTAGGGGTTGGTGGGAGGGGCGGTTGACAGAATTATTGGCAGCAGCATTACTGCTACTGTCAGCATTGAGCTAGAGAGGAGGAAAGAGCTGGGAGGAGGTTTGCTCTGTGCTCCCTCTCCCCTCCAGGTTCTCCTTCCGGTCACTGACATGCGGAAGTGTTGCTAAAGGGGGCAACTGCCCCCCCTATGTTATTTCTTGCCCTCCGTGCCCCCCCCACAAATTAGGCTGGCAGACTTCAGCAGGTGAAATTGACAGTCTGGGGTGATTGGTGCGGTGGGGGACAGTTACAAGCACAAATCTTCCTATGGCTTTCAATGAAGCAGCCAAAAGCCACCGGAGGGAGGGGAGGAAAAGCAGCATCCAGCTGCTTCATTGAAAGCCATACAAGGAGATTGGTGCTTGTAACTGCCACCACTGCACCAATCGCTCCCTACTGTCCATCGGATTTCCCTTTTTTTTATTGGTCCCCCTGTGTGCTCCTCAGTGCCCAGCCCCTTCCAACATACTCCACACCAATCGAAGAGAAGTGAGTCTGAATCTGCTCTGCCTCCCCCTGTGCCTGCCCACACTCCAGTCTGTGCAGCTTCTGAGAAGAGGATGTGTGGGTGGGAAATTATAAACAGAGCAGCCTGCAGCAGCTGTGTGATGCTTCTGACTGAGCCAGTGAGCCGAGAAACATCCATGTGAGTCCAACTTTTCTTCCTCCCCTTCCTTCCTTCCATGCTGCTCTCCCTTCCTTCCTTCTTTCCTTCCTTTCCTCGCTCCCTTCCTTCCTCCCCTCCCTTCCTTTCTTCCTTCCTCCCTCCCTCCCTCCATCCCTTACCTTCCTTCCTCTCCTCCCTTCCTTCCTTCCTTCCTTCCTTCCTTCCCTCCACTCCTTTCCTTTCTCCCTTCCTACAGTCCACACTCCTCTCCTGCACATACTACCCACCGCCATACACTCTGGACTCCTCTCCCTGGTACCATGCGTCACATCGCTGACCTTCACACTGTGCCTCATTTTGTTTCCCTATTGATGTAAAGCACTTATTTTCCTTTTATGTTTACATTGCTTTATGTTAATATATTTAAAGTTGCTAATGTTAATATTTTTTCTTGTAACTTTATTCTGCATAAAACATTTACCAGTGTCATTTCATGAGTTAATTTACAAAGCAGTGTTTAGAGGAAGAATTAGGTGAGGGGTGAGGCGGGGCAGGGTAGGGGTTGGGTGGGGTAGCTGGTGGCAAGAAACTCTTAAGGCCTGCCTTGTAGCTCAGGTTGTGAAATTTTGAGCCTTGATCAAGGGGCTGTAGAGCAGTAAAGTGCACCACACAGTCAAAAGCTGGCCATAGTTTACTCACTTTTTCCACTAGCCAGTGGGCTGAATGGATTCTCTTATTCACACAAGTGAGGTGGATAGAAGAATTCTCTCCATTGCGCTTTTGTATTCTGACAATAAGGACTCCTCCCCTGTCAAAATACACTAATCAGCGTTGAAGCTGATGAGCTGCAGCTCTGATCAAACAAAATTTTACCAACCAGTCATTTCGAGAAGGGTCGATTGTTATATTGAATCCTCTTGAATAGGAACAGCTATAGATGGATGGAAATTTGGCCAATCCCTGCTGAACCAGCCAAATATTGATCCATCTATGCCAACTTAACCCCCTTGTTCAATGCACTGTGCATGTTCCCCACCTTGTGATAGCAAAAAAATGTAAATAAAAAAATTAAAAAGTGTCAATAAAATTACATTAATTAAAAAATAAAAATATTAAAAAAATGTTAAAACAGCCCCTTTACCTTGCGCGCATACCCAAATGCAAATATACACATAAAGAAAGCACGTGTCTGTAAATTGTGTTTCTGCCACACATGCGAGGTGCATGTGATCGAGGTCAAAAATATTTTTTAACTATTATTCATGGTTAACTCTAAACTAATAACCTGTAAAGGCTTTTAAAAGGCTTGAACAATTGTGGATACCTTAGTTGTTTAGTCATTTCACAGGTGCATGCTCTTTTAAGACTTAACATGTTGGGTATCTATTTACTCGACGCAACCTCATCTTTTATATTTTACCAACAATTAGGTACTATATTATGTTTGTGTACACCAAAATATGTGTTTTGGTAAACAGTTGCACAAATATTGTGTGGCATACAGAACATTGAAACTGCCACCATTTTATTCCTCAGGGCTTTTTCTTTCAGAATTATTGGGTTTAAAGTAATATTCTAGTAAAAAAAAAAAAGCTGAATTTTACCATGTGTGTAAAAAATTAAAAAAGTGCCTCAGTAGACAAGTAGCTAAAGCCAATTTCCATCTTGTCTGTTACTTTCTGCCAAACTAACTGGGGCCAAGCAGCAGACATGCTGCATTTTATCACAGCGCACTGTACAAGATTGTATGTCACTGTACAGCACATCGTGCTGCTGTATAGTGACATGAATGAAATGTACTTTTGTACACTTCAAATAAAGTTCAGTGAGAAAAAAAGGGAGCTGTGTGATGCGCTGAATTCTGCACCACACCACCCCCTACTGCAGCCAAACTGCTGTGTTTTACCTCTCCAGCAGCTGTCCGTTGTGTGTGAATACACATAAAGAAGAAAATAAAGGTAATGACACTAAACTTTGGTAATCCTTGGTGTCACCAATCTCTAAATAGCATTAGGTTGGCACTACCATTCTTTCGATTTTCAGAGGATTCCTTGGAGAAAATATTTCTTTGGATACGTGTGTGAGTACAGCCTATAGGAAAAGTATAGTGTACTTTTACTAAGTAAATATTTTGATCTATTATTGTTATGTTTATCTTTCACATTTTTAACAGTGAACTTCAGGAATTGTATCTTCGTATGCTTACATTGCGCCATCTTGGCTCAATTTAAGTATGCCTATCTGATATCCAGAGGGCTGCTGGGGATGCTGTATTTCATTGTAGTAACTCACGTTACATACAGTGAGAACCATGATCTTCTAGGTTCTGTGTGCGTGGTTTCTCTTCTGCACACTGGGCTGTTGGTTGGAGGCCTTTTAACTGACGTTGGTTCAGGGAAGGCCTTTTAAAGTTTGCCCTTTATGTCTATTCTACTGCAGAATAAAAGAACAATATTTCAGTGTTATGTGTCACAAGCATATCAATTTTCATCCTGGTGTGTTGCAACTTCGAAAAGGTTAGAAAACACAACAATAAAACAGTTAAAAAAAAGGCTAGGTTCCCATTTATGCAGGTAGTTGCCACTGCAGGACTGCACCTGTTCCTGCACCACCCGCAGAGAAAAATGTGCTGCTGCTCAGGAAGTGCACGAGAGTACTATTCCCACACTGGGAACGGAACTGCAGTATGTGACTGTGGCCGCATTTTCTGAAAAGGTGCAGGGACTTTTTCCCTGTGTTTTTATGGGTACAGCAATCCATTCAAGTGATTCAGAAGTCCATTCAAGGAAGACAATGTTTAGAATCAACATTTAAAAATGTGTTAAAGCAAAATTGGATCGCCAGTGTGAAAGGGGCCTTAGTCACTGCATTGGACCTACTAAGGAAAGGCAGGTTCTATAAGATAATTTATACCCTAATATTTTTAAAACCTGTCTGCAGTTGAAATTACTGAAACATTTCAATTTTGATGTCACAGATTAATACATGATAAGAGATTATACATAAAAGTTATGAGATATACCTGTGTCAGCTGAAGCTATCTGTAAAACACAAAATATAAGGAGAGCAAATTAAAAAAAAAAATTCATCAAAACAAATTAGAGATTATAGTGTATATTATACCTGTAGCACAGTTTTTGCAAAAAATGCACCTACATTTATTCAGATTAGCGATGTTTGGGTAGGCTCTGGCATGTTCAACTGTCAGCCAATTTATCAAACTTTCCTTCAGTATCTTGGTAGCAAATCTCTGTTCCCTGCACCCTTAAAAACTAATTGCTTGCCCTTTTAGAAATTGTAAATTATAGAAAGCCTTGCTTTTTAGCCATAATAGTATGTCTGTAACATGATGGGTAATCAGCCAAATGATCAGACAGGGAGTAACTGTAACTTGGAGTTTACTGAACAGGTGCAAAGTTAGGAACTATAATGCAACAAAAATGTCAGAATGGTAGAGAACATGCTTACACTACAGAATAATACAAAACAGATTATGAAACCTGCATAAACATGGACTCTTCATGTCTCTGTGACTTAAAGTGGTTCCAAAGGATTCTTTTTCC